GTAAGAAAAGTTGGACTAGCGTCATTAGTGATCCGTCGAGGAAATGATTTTGTACGAATAATGTGATTTACCAAGTCGGATGATAACAATGTCAATTGGGCTAAATCCACTATATTTTTCAGCAAAAATACTCCCAGAGATGTGCAAGATAAATGCTGTCAGATATTAACTGGGATCCAAGTTCACACATCAACAAGGTACCTAGGCCTGCCCCTAGGCATTAGCAGATCAAAAACGGAGTCATTTGAATATATTCTTGTTGTGGTGAAGAAAAGAATACAAAGCTGGAAAAATAAGTGGCTAACTACTGCAGGTAAAGAAATTTTAATTAAAGTTGTCATTAATTCTTTACCTATCTTTGCCATGTCATGTTTTGTTCTACCAGTAGGGCTATGCAAAGAGATAACAAGCACATGCAGCCATTTCTGGTGGAGTAAAGGAACTGATCTGCAGAAAGGTATTCACTGGATTTTATGGGACAAATTAACATTGAATAAAAAGCATGGGGGGAATGGGCTTTCAAGATATACAACTGTTCAACACTGCACTTATAGCCAAGCCAACATGGAGGTTGGTGACACAACCTCACACTCTGATTTGTAGAGTACTAAAAGCCAAATACTTTCCAAATTCTTCTATCTTTGAAGCACACAGACAGCAAAATGCCTCATGGCTTTGGAGCATCTGGCTAAATGTACTTGAAGTTTGTGGGAAGTGGATGCAAGTGGAGATTAGGAGTGGAAACAACACAAGAATCTGGGACCAGCACTGGATCCCTAATCACATTGGCCAACTTGTGCCACTTTATAAGGTATTGAGAAAGGAATCACCTGGGTAAGAGATCTTATGTCCACTGATGGCTGCCACTGGGACATCCATAAAGTGAGGAGCATGTTTCCTCCAGAGATAAGTGAAGCTATACTTAGCATTAATACCATTAATCCCAACCATTCTGACAGATGGATTTGAAAGCTCAATAACAAAGGTATCTTTTCTGTTAAATCTACTTATGCTCATTTCATTACAGAAAAGGCCTTACAGATAGATCAACCTGAAGGAAGCTGTGATAGAATACATGAAATCAAAGCTAGAACCAAGACATAGAAGCTCAAAGTAATGGGTAAGGTAAAACATTTTTTATGGAAACGCTTGTCTGGTGCCTTACCTGTCAATTTGAATTTAAGAATCAGAGGAATGGAGGTAGATGTGATTTGCCCTGTTTGTGGAGAAGCTGAAGAGTCAATAGAACACATCTTTTTTCAATGCATCCAAGCTCAACAGGTGTGGAAGCTAGCTCCAGTACACTGGGAAGGCCCTAAGAGTCTGAGAATTTTAAGGCCTAGTGGTGGCAAGTGTGCAAGTTAAATAGAGATGACACATCATAGGCAAGGCTATAACTTTCAACATATATACTCTGGTGGTTATGGAATTGTAGGAATTTATGGGTGTTTGAAAGAATCAAAAGTCCTGCAATCACCATAGTTAAAGCAGCAGTACAAGATTGGAGAGATTACTTGGAAGCAAATAGAGCAGGCCACAACACCTCTTAAAGGATGTATTGTTTTCAGTCTTTATTATAGCTTTTTAGCTTCTGGTCTAGTTTGGTTTCTTTAATTTGGTATCATAAGGGTAAGGGTCTCAGTTGTGTTTTAACTGCCTTATCCCTTCCTTTTCTCTTTGTTTGATTTTCGGTTTCTAGGCCACTTCAAGTGGTTCTCCCATTACCGGCAGTAGTTTATGTATGTTGGGATTTCTATTGTAAGAACATTGTATAAGTTTTTTGGGTAAATTGCACCAAACCCCCTGTATTATACTAAATCTGCGCGTTATCCCCCTCTAATTTGAAAAATGCGTCAAACCCTCTTGTAATGTAGTTTGGCCAACATACGCTCCCCAACTTATGCCTAGTTGCTAACACCGTTACATTTTTGTGAACATCTCGTTATGCCCTTGTCACTTGAAAGGTCAAACCCATCTGAAACAAAAATCATTTCTAACTTTTCAAATTCTCTCTCTCTCTCTCTCTCTCTCTCTCTCTCTCTCTCTCTCTTCTCTCTCTCTCCCTGATTCTCCAAAAAAAATCCCAATTTATGCACCCCGATTCTCCAAAAAAAGTTGCCGATTTTCAGCTATTAATTTGTAGAAGGATCGATGGCGCATAACAAAGTTCTTCTTTTCTTCAATGTTGGAATCGATTGGAGGAGTAATTTTCGATATTCTAGTGAAAAAGCTCAGATCTTTTGGAAAATTTTATCTTCTTTATCCTTGTAATGAAAATTTGTAACTTTTGAGGTTAGTCATCTACTTAGATCCATTTTCTTGGTTATATTGTTCTGATTCATGACCCAGTGAAAAAGCTCAGATCTTTTTGTCTATTTTTTTTAATGATTCTTTCTAGTGTTATCTTTGGAGGGTTTTTTCTAAGTTGGTTGGTGGGGTTAGTTAGATTGTTATCATTGTTTGGGTTTTATAAAATTCCGTGGTTAGCGTTGCTTTCACTATTGATGTTCTTGCCGTAGATTTCAAAGAAAACGGTAAAGATGTAAAATTTATGTATACTATTCGTAATACAGTTAGGCCCCAGGTGATGTCCATTTCTATTGAAAATATGAGATCTATTGAAAATTTATCCTGTTTGGCTGTTTGGCTGGTAGTTCTGTTAAACCATATAGACATTAAATTTAAGAGAAAATAAAATAAAAGGTGTTTCTTTTGGGGGCATCATTAAACTATGTTAATAATGGAATAACAATTGTGAATGTTGATTGAATTAGTCCAGTGATAAGTGTTTGATACATGTATTCTTTTTGCTGTAATTCTTCTTCAATGGTGAAATTAGGGCTGTGCGATTTTAGGTGTGAATTTGGGGAAGAAGACTTGAATTTAAATGGCTGATTTTAAGGGTAAAAAAGTAATTCCGCAGCTTTTGGGGTGAAAAAAAAGAAGAAAAAGTCGCACAACACGCGCGTGCACGCCGCTTCCGTCATCTTAGACAGTTTATGGGATTTCGCGCATGCAAAACTACATTACAAGGGGGTTTGACACATTTTTTAAACACGCAGATTTAGTATAATATAGGGGGGTTTGGTGCAATTTACCCTAATTTTTTTTTTTAGTTGAATGGAATGAGATCATCTATCGTTTGGGAAAAAATTAGGGGTGTGCATCGGTCGGTTGATCGAACCGAATTAGGAAAATTGAAATAACAGAACATATTATGTCAGTAACCGAAATTGACCGAATTATAAATTTAAACTGAACATTAACTGACCAAACTTCTTGGTCAGTTTGGTCAAACCGACTGAACTATACATTTTAATATATATATATATATATATATATATATATATATATATTATTCGATCGTTCGGTTATTTCGGACATTTTGTTCGAAACTGAAACCAACCGAAATAACCGAAAAATTAAACTGAAAACCGACTAAAATAATCGAAAAATTATAAACTGAAAACCGAAATCGACCGAAATAACCGAAAAATTATAAACTGAAAGCCGAAAATCAACCGAGTCGCATAAAGACCGAATCGAAATTTTCAGTTCAGAAAATTTTGATCGATACATAAAAACCAAACCGGAATTATAATATAAGGTTGTTTGGTGCAATTTACCCTAAGTTTTTTAGTTGAATGGAATGAGATCATCTATCGTTTGGGAAAAAAATAGGGGTGTGCATCGGTTGGTTGATCGAACCGAATTAGGAAAACGGAAATAATAGAACACATTATGCCAATAACCGAAATTGACCGAATTATAAATTTAAACTGAACATTAACTGACCAAACTTCTTTGTCAGTTTGATCAACTCGACTGAACTATACATTTTAATATATATATATATATATTATATATATATATATATTATTCGATCGTTCGGTTATTTGGGACATTTTGTCCGAAACTGAAACCAACCGAAATAACCGAAAAATTAAACTGAAAACCGACTAAAATAATCGAAAAATTATAAACTGAAAACTAAAATCGACTGAAATAACCAAAAAATTATAACTGAAAGCCGAAAACCGACCGAATCGCATAAAAACCGAACCAAAATTTTCAGTTCAGAAAATTTTGATCGGTTTTTTCGGTTTTAGTCCAATTGTGCACACCATAAACAGAAACACTTAAACATGTGTCATCAAATGTAATAAATTATATTAATAACTAAAAGGCATAGTTTTTAAATTCTGCCCAAAAATCGACCCGAACAGGTCTCCGAGTCATCGGGTCAACGGGTCAATTGTTGAACCGGATAATTAATTCTAAAATTTTTAAAATTATATATATTGTATTTTTGACATATAAATATACATATAAGTAATAAAAATAAATGTTTTGTACATAAAATTTGTACATCAAAAAACAAATGTATCACACAATAAATATTTACTATATCACTAAATTTACATAGTTTTATTTTTTTAAATAAATTATTTTAAAAAAATAAAAAATATAAAGGAACTGGGACAACCATGTTGACCCACCCGAGTCAATGACCCGGGTCGACAAGGTGAAGGCCGAGTTGGCAGATTTGACCGCGTTCATTGTTACCCGGTCCAAATAGTCCACCCGAACTAATTCCAACTCCGATCGGCCGGGTCCCGGGTCGACCCGCCGGGCAGTCCGAGTTGAAAAACAATGCTAAAAGGAAAAAAGGGCTGCGGTGTCCAAAACTAAAATTAGACGTTAGGCAAATTCAAAATGACTAAACCTAAGTTCATGTAAATATTCCAGTGGCAGTATATATATAAATTAATATATAGTACACCACCAAAACGCATATTATCCAGTCAAAATTAAACAACCACCCCACAAAAATTACTCCCATCTATCATTTACACAGAACATCTTTCGAATCGGGAGAGACAGCAAACCCAATGAAAA